ACTCACTTCCACCCCGCGGTGGAGGGATAAGACAATCGGCGGCTGGCATGAAATGAAATAAAACGGATAAAAAAAGGGAGGGTGCTCCGTCTCATCACGAACCCTTCTTTTTGGCCCTCTGCACTTGTGTGCAATCGATCGAACAGAGCGGCAGCGCGATCCGTTCGTTAATCGTCGGTCTGGCAGGGCGGCGCGGCGGCAGGGCGACCTGTCGGATGCGTTTTTGGGTTTTGTGAGACAACGGGCAACGCTGGCGTGCACCGACATCCCCCAGTCGCATAGCGCCAAATGGCATTTTTGGAAAGCAGCGGGGAAAAACCGACGCGAATGGGAGCCGTTGCAAACACTTGGTGAGACGCGCCGGGCCCTCGGCCGGTCGGCACGCGCTGCAACCCTATCCGCGGCGTTGCGTCAATGGACCGCGAAGGAAACGGTATAAAATCCGAATCGCGAAATTTGCATGTCTGCCGGAAGAGAGATAGAGAGACCCGGGCGCGTGCGCCGTGTTGCAAAGCGTTCACCGAAAACGTATTCCGTCTTTGTCGCGACCGGGGGAAAACAGCTTGCCTCATTACGCAAACATTTCCTTGAGGTGGGCCAACACCGCGGAGGCAGGAAAAAATGGTGATTAGGCTGCCTGTTCATGAGCGGGCCTGGCCGGGCCTGGCCGGGCCGGGCGAGTCGGCGAGGCAGCCCTTGCCACGTGCCGACGCAGCAGATTGGAGAAATAACACGCGTTGCGCCGCGTCGCCGCGTCCCGTCCGCCCTCCGCATTTACATCTGTTTTGCATAAGCGCTCGGCTCGCACTCGCGAATCTCGGCCGCGTACATGCTTGATGAGCTGAGGACGCGCGACGCGGCGCGGCCCTGCCCTCTCATCCGCTTAGCGAGTCTCTGCTTGCGTTCTGGTCCGCGGCGCCGTCCGCGACCCTCGGCCCTCGCCGACGACGTGGCTTCTCGGCGGCCGACGGCCCAACGGCCCCGCGGCCAGCGACAGCGTTTGATTGATAATCCGTCCGGTCAATTACGTAGAAAGGATACTCGGATATGGATTAGCTTCGGCCTGTATGCATAAGATTGCCGGCTCACATGACGCCCCCCTCCCCCCTTCGCGGACCGGCGCCCCCCTATCTAGCCGCGGACCAGGCGATCTTGTCTGGTCAATATGGTGACGGTGACGGAGCGCAGAGATGTCTCCGCGCTCGCTGCTGCCGGGTCGGCCGGATCAGAGATTAGCTGAGAGGGCCGGGGCGTGCCGAGTCTATCGGCAGGCGGGCAGGACCAAGGGCACACCTACTGGACCTACAGGCTCCAGAACTCCCTTTCCAGGAATGTGAGTGACAGGTCCAGCCGTAACTCCGGCGAGCCTGGAATGGTAAGTAAAGTGCGCTGGGGCCGCCGGGGCGTCAACGAACCGCACCGCCGCCCACTACGCCCCGCGACGCCCCGCGCCGCACCGCGAGCCTTCAAGTCGCACAAAGCTTAATTTATAACCCAAACATTCATAAAAACCTGAATCGGAAATTACGACTGGGTATTTATTCTCGCCCGGGTGACGTGCAGGGAGAGGGGGTGGGGCGCGGCACCTTGTGCGCCACCGACAATACGTTTAATCAGAACCGTCCGATTCATTAACATTTCTAGAAGCCGCCTACTGGGTCGCGAGCGCGGTCGCGAGCTGCGGGGGCGCCGGCGTCGCGGTGGGGTGCGGCGGTGACTCAGGCTGCCAACCGATCGGTCTCTCTCGCACTCGTGGAACTTACCGTAGCGGTAAGAGAGAGAGACCGAGCTACGATACGCCGCAGGAATCGGTCTTCTGATGCGCAGCCCCGTCCGGCGGGATGCGACGCGGGCTGCCCGCCCTGCCCCTGCCGCGACTTGAACTTGCCGCGCCCACGCCGTGTCCGCCGAGTGCCTGCACCGCTACGTGGCTGGTATTTTGCCAGGCGTCGTCGCGATACTCGGCGTCTGGCACGAGCCGGGATGGAACACGGATGGGACACGGATGGAACGACACGGGTGACACACCCAGGTGTCCTGTCGAGCCAGTCCGGCGGTGCGGCGCGGCGCGGCAGCGTGGACGCGCTGCGGAGGGCCCGTCCCGGAGCGGCGCGGCCCGCGACGGCCAGGGCGGTGTCCCGAGCGGGGCCAGCACGGCCGTCCGCGCCGAGGCAGCGCGCCGCTGACGGCTGGCCCCTGTCAGCCCTCCCCGGCAAGCCTCTCTCGGCCCCGGCCGGCCCGCCGATAAAAATTGCCTGGGACACGCGACAGCATTGGGAAAGGTGAAGAAGCCAGTCCGGCCGGTGACGCCGAGGCCGAGAGGCGTGGAGAGGCGCGGCCCGATCCGAATCGTGTTTATTGACACACAGGGCGCGGCCAAAATGTTGCAGGCGGGGAGCAGAAATGGGGAAAGAAAGAGATCCAAGAGTAGTTCCAGAAACGGGCTACGAATTTATGCGCCCCTAACCTGTCGGGCCGCGGACGCAATTTCGAGATATCGAGACGCGAAGATGACGGCGCGGCCGCTACACTACTCGGTGACATTCGTCAGCCACGCTGGACCACCTAGGCGAGTGGCTCTATCTACACAACACGACGAGTTTGGTTCGATGGCTGGGGCGGTGCTGGGCCCCTGCTCGCCTCGGCCGTGCCGAGTACACTCTCAGCCAACGAGAGAAAGCAGCGTTCAGCTCAGCGCGCTCGCATCGTGTCATTTTGCTGACACAGTCGCGAGCATTTACTTGAAACTGTTATTCAAAAAAGGGCAATGGCGGTCCAAATCAGGTTTCACAGCCCTCTGAAACTAACGCGTGTTCTATCCTCATTTTCGAAAGTTATCTGCAACATTCTTTTATTTCCTTTTGTTTAAATTATGTTCCATTTTTTTTAGAAGACAATGGAAACTATGAAATAAGTGTATCAACTTACTAATCAAAGTCTACAAAGGTTGGTTGAAACATGCACTTCGCATGCAAACTACACACAAAAAGCGACAGTTATTACTGTTAAAAGAGAGTTTCTACTGGTTTTTTCCTGTGCAGGTTTGACGTCCTCTTGTGTAGTGCATGTTCTTCTTCTTCTCCTCATGCATGTTTTTGATCATTTTTTGCCATTTTTATTTTCTTTCTTGAACTTGTGTTTGTTTTTGATAATTTATTTTTTTCTCTGCCCTAAGGTTAGTGGCAATGATAATCTCTCGTTTCTTTTTATGTACCGTGGGGAAAAGGAGCCCTCGAAGGCAAATCATAATAAAATGTAAACAAAAAAAGGGAATTTATTTTTAGTGAATTTATTTATCAGAAATTCCAGCGAGCCCCTACTAGCTCCAAGCAGGAATCGCACATCACAGATGGAAGCGCGCGAATTCGCGTGCACATAGTCTCATAAAAAAAATACATAAATACACCTCTATGCAATTTCAATTAAATTTCTCAGTTCAACAATAAATACATACGATAATACACTATAGATCATATTACACTATATACATATACAACACAATAACTTTCAATCAATTAAAGTTTTACAAATATATAATTTGCGTACAAATTTGGTATGAACACGTTTAGGGCGACAAAACGTCACTACTTGAAGGAAACAATGTCTGGACAGAAACTCAGTTCTGCATCTCCCTCACATAAAACAAGTCTTTTTATTTATACTTAACAGGATCAGGTGACAACGCCAGGTCCCCTAAGCTGAACCGTAAACAGGCTACACAGCTGTCTCCAAACCAGCATCATCTCAATGCCTGATATGTGGGCCTCAATAACCTATTTCGGCGTACTGGCCTGCCTGTACCCCCACCTCCCACCTCCCTCCTCCCCACCCTCCTCATCCCTTCCATATCACCATCCGGATAAGTCTGTCTTCGTCTCGGGAGGATTTGGGAGGCTCTACGGGATCCAGGTAGCCGTGGAGCCACCGCACTCACGCGCGCTCACACACACATACACACACGCACACACACATACGTACTGACACATGTATCCACATACGGCCACATATTGGCCGTGTTATTGCTCTATAACCACGCGCAGGGGAGGGGGAACAGAAACAAACCCAGCCAAATAATGAAGAAATTTTTGACCGAAAACGGAAAGACGCAGGCCGCGATGCGGCCGCTATGCAGCCTCCGTTGCTGCACAAGTTTGAAACATGGCCGAATGGTGGAAACAAATAAAGAAGCCAAGAACAAAGGAGAATGGCCAATAAAAGTGGATAAAAGCGGGAAATGAAGGGCGGCACGATTTGATAGCAGGATCTAGCTGCACGCCTCGCCTTTGTCTCCCTGCTGAATGGGAAGGAAATATATAAAATATTTCACAAAGAGGCAGCTGGGCTGCGCATACAGGCCATACAGGCATTCCCCCTTCCTTGCGCGGGGTAAGTTTGGAAGCAAAATTGTACAAGTTCCTAGCTATCTTTGTCTTGTCTGATGGGGGTGGTATCCTAACCCAGCTTAACTAGTAACGCTTATCCCCTGAAAACTCTCACTACCCAAAAGGCAACTATAAACTATTTACAACAAACTAAAAAAACGATAACGCAACATCAATATGCCATAAAGGCTGCCAACACAAGGGTGCAACACCACATAATTACAACAACGCATAAAAAGTTTATAAAATTTACAAAGGAGCACAAAAATATTTGCAATAAAGCGAGGTTCAGAGTTGAGAAAATTGTCCTCAAATCGAGATTGAAAATGAAATTCTAGTTACAAACACCGATATCACTTGTTTGGTGTTTTAATTAGAGAGTCTATATTGGGATAACTTTTGCAGTAATATCTCAGTTCACAGCATTTAAGCAACAGAGAGCAAAACAAAAACAGAAAAAAATAATTACAAAAAATAATGATAAAAGTTAAAAAATAATGACAATAAACGACTTACAACGAAAGCGTGAGGCAACTACTACGGCGCTATCGCACTGAGACATTACTGCTTGGTGGACGGATGCATGCTTTGCCTTCTACTCGAGCGCGACGCACTCACCGTTGTTGTGGTAGAATGAGCGGCCAGCCGAGCTGGGGGCCACTGATCCATACAGCTGTTGCAAGAGATTCAAGTCTTCCTGGGGCAGGGTGTTGATGCCCGGGGCCGCCTTCGGGGCGTTGTTGTTGTCGGATGGGGTGCCCGCGTGGCCAGGCAGGCCGCCCGCGTGGCTCGGCAGGCTGCCCGGCAGCCCAGGCATGACGGTGGGGAGGCTGCCCGGGAGGCTGCCCGCCACTGGGAGCTGCGGCATGGGGAACTCGGTGGCGGGCGGTTCACTGCCAGGCTGTGCGTCTTTGTGCGTCTCCAGGTACTGGCGCACGTTCTCTATGTGTTTCTTGGTGAAGATATGGTCCTGGATCGAGTACTTGTGCGAGTACTTGAACTGGCAGTGGACGCACTCTTCCGGCGCCCGGTCCGGTGGGGGCGTGGCTAGCGACTCAGGACCGCCGAGCGCCTTCTGCAGGGCCAGCTTGGTCTTTTTCTCCTTGGCGCGCGCGTTTTGAAACCACACCTGGACCACCCGCTTGGCCAGCCCGATCTCGCGGCCTAACATCTCGCACTCCGCCATGGTGGGCGTCTTGTAGTCCGCGAACAGGGATTTCATTATCTTGACCTGCAACCAGACACGAGATGGTCTTAGGTCCAGTTCATAGGTCCACGTCACTACTATATAAGTAAGTACACTACACACACACACACTAACGCAATCTTGAAACACACAAACACACACACACAGGTACTAAGGTTCAGGTCTCCACCTTGACCTTACTAACCTGCAGAGAGCTCATCTGAGTCCTAAAGCGTTTGTTGGCGGGCTGCCCTGGCTGGCCGGGCGCTCCAGACGGGGTGGGCCCACTGCGCTGGTGCCCACTCTGGGTGGACGACGCCGGGGACGTTGGGTTGCTCTCGTCGTCCATGTTGTCGGTGCACTCGGACATGGAGTCGTCACCGTGCTCACTCATGGGGTCTTCTCGCACGGACAACGCCATGCCCAAGGGACGGCTCAGGTCTACGGGCTTGCTGAGGTCGAGGACGCCGGCTCCCCCCTCCACGGGGGCGCCAGTGTGTGGTGCGACGTCATCTTTGGTGGGGCCGCCCTCCTTGCCGTTCTGGGAGGTCTGGTGTGCCTGCAGCTCGCTGATGTACCTCTTAACTGACTCCTCGTAGTACTTTTTTAGGGACGCCTCCACGTCCGGGGACTGAAAGGGCGGGAACAGCGGGGGCATCATGTTGGGCTGTGCGGAGGAGTGCTGCGATGACTGCGTGGACTCCATGCTCACCTCCTCGTCAGGCAGGGCATCGATGTTGATCTCGCCGCGCGCGCACTGGTCTGCGTGCTTGGTGTTCAAGTGCGACTCAAGGGCAGATTTTACCTTGAAGAGGGCTGGGCAGAAAGGGCAACGCTTGTTGATGACCTGCGAGTGCGCTCTACTCTGCCCCTTGCGCTCCCTGGCCCGGGTATTCTGGAACCACACTTGCACCACGCGCTTTTTCAGGCCTACCTCCCTAGCGATGTTCTCCAGCATCTTGCGAGAGGGGTTGCTTTCCATCTGGTATTTTTGGTACAAATAGTCTAACTGCTCGGGAAGGATGGTAGTTCTTAGGCGCTTGTCCTTGGGCTGGTCGCTGTGCTCTTGGGGCTCATCAAAGTCCTCCAGCTTGCGTTTGGCACCCAACATGTTGGCAAGGGGGTGCGCGGCGGCCCCTGGCAGCATTGACAAGTCAGGCAAGACAGGGAGCTGCGGCGGCAGTTGCGGTTGCTGGGGCACTTGTTGCTGTTGCTGCTGCAACTGTGCGTGCTGCTGCAGGATGCCAAAGGGTGAGTCAGGAGGATAGGTTGGGAACAGGTTTGGGTTCATGATGTGGACCAGCTGGTGCTCCCGCCATAGTTCAAACCTGGGGAAAACCAGGTTGCACTTGTCGCATTGAAACGAGCTCTCCTTGGCAAGGGCTTGGTTCGCGGGGGCTGGAGGGTCGCGAGGAGAGTCAGGAAGTGGAGAGGGGGTGGGCGTGTGGGCAGACGACCCAGGCGCGGGCGTCACCGGCCCAGAGCTGACCGTCAGCGCCGCGGTGCTCGCCAGGGGGGCGGACTGCGGGGCGGCCGGAGGCTCTCTTTGCTCAGTCATAGTGCTTGAGTTAGAATCTTCCGACGACATGACGGCTGCAATCTGTGCCGCGGCGGCCTGCGCCTGAGCCGACCGCTTTGCGTCCTCCTCCTTGAAGCAGTGGGTCTTCTGGTGGCGAATCAGCTCGTAGTACCGCTGGAAGACAAGCAAGCACTTCTTACACTGGTAGTTGAGGCCAGGCGTCCGCTGAAATCGGCCTTGCTCGTCAGTCGTGCCACCCGTGCCCGGCGCTGGGTCCACTGCGGGCTGATTTTCATACACCTTGCGCGCCTTTTGCCTGGCGTTCTGAAACCACACGACAATGACACGTGGGCTGAGGCTAAGCAGTTTGGACAGGTACTCTAGATCGTCGTCTTTCGGGTAAGCGTTGTTTTCAAAGAACTCCTGCAGCACTTTGATCTGGTAGTCAGTGAAACGCGTGCGGTTGGCCCTCTTGCCTGTAGAGCCACCCGACGAGCTACTGCCGCTGGAGTTAGCGCCGCCTCCGCTGCTAGGGCCGGTGCTGTTACTGCCGAGGTGGGTGAAGGGGTCGTTGAAGGAGCGGCCAGGGCTGACACTTCTACTGTTCGGAGTCATGGGGCCCGGCGCGACGCCGTGCGTTGGCGAGGCGAAGTTCGGTGGAGTCAATTTTGGAGGCAGCATAGATGCCGCGCTGTGGCTCATTGGGTCTGGGCCTAGTTGCGAAGCAATCAGGGAAGACAGGGTCAGGCTGGCTGGCGACGAGCTCCGCGATGCGTGGGACGGCGTGGGGCTCAGGTGGTAGTCTTCGCGCTCCATGCCAACATGCTCGGAGCTGGGCTCCGTCTTGATGTGCTCCGGGGGCTTGGGGAACTGGTGCATTAGCTGCTGCTGCTGCATCATTTGCTGCTGCATTTGCTGCTGCTGGAGAAGCTGCTGTTCCCGTTCCCGTTCCCGCTCGCGTTCCCGTTCTCGTTCCCGCTGCTGTTGCTGCTGACTGCTCGGGCTTGGCTTTGGTGGTTGTGGAGGTGGTGGGGCTGGCTGCGCAGGAGCTGGAGCCGGCGTGAGGGGCTTCGCTACAGGCTTCTGCTCGTCGGAACTACTGCTGGTGTTTAGTGGAGTAACTTTTGCCTCACCAGTTTTCTCGTACTCTTCCAGGTTTAGAGTAGTGGAGGGTGGGTTGTTGAAGTTGTAGGGAGAATCCTTGTTCCTCTGACGCTCCTTGAAGAGGGTGTTTCGGAACCAGTGCTTGATGACCTTGGGCGGAAGTCCGGACCGCGCTGCCATGTCGTGGATCTGCTCCTCGGACGGGGAGTTGTTGATGTCAAAGTGAGCCCGCAATATTTTCAGCTGTTCGTCTGTGATCCGTGTCCTTGCCCTCTTCTGCTGCGTTGCGTTAGCCTGAAACAGTGAAGTATTCTGTACTCGAAAAATAATAGCAAAAAGTACTTATTTTTAAGGAAATAAGATAAATGTACTCACCACTTGTTGCTGCTGCTGCATGAGTGCCTGCTGTTGTTTGGCGAGCATGGAGGCTGGGTCACCCAAACCCTGGCCTTGGGGACTGAATAGCGGGTTCTGCGCTGCCATCTGGTCAAATGGTGGGGGTGGCATCATCAAAGGCACCAGAGGTGGCTGTAAGTTCATGGCAGCCAAAGCCTGCATGTTGAGTCCCAAAGGAAGTCCCATCATGCCGAGCATCATTGGGTTGAGTTGCTGCTGAAGGTGCTGCTGCACGGCCATGGCATTCAGTGCCATCTGCATGGAGTCCATTTGTTGAGCAAGGTTCATGGATAAGCCTTGAGCCGATGGGGACAAACCAGCCATGGCAGGTAGCGCAGTTGTCATTGAGTTGTTGGTTGCGGTGTTTTCATTAGTTGAAGCAGGGGTTGATGATGCAGTTGGTGTAGAGGGTGCTGTCGGTGTGGCCGTAATGTCGTTTGGCGGTGTTAGAATGTTCGACATAATGTTCTCTTTGCTGTCTTCGGACTCCTTTTCAGGTGTTGAATCGACTCCAGGTACCGACTTCTTTTCATATTCAGACTTAAACTGCTGTGCATATTTTTCAAGAAAATCAAGGGGAACAAGATCCTTGTGAACTTCTTCGCAGTGTGCTTTCAGGACCCAAACACTGGAGAACTCTTTGTTGCAGTGTTGGCAGGTAGATTTAGACACTTCTGGAAGTTGGTCCTTTTCACTAGGAGTGCTTGGACGCACTTCTTCCTCAAGCTGCTCTTCTTTTACGACAACCTTTTCCTTCGGCTCTTCTTCGATTTCTTCAATTTTCTCAGGTTCTGGAATCTCCATAGGCATGGGAGGTTCAAGCTGTGGGATGTGATGATGCTCTACTTGCTCCTGAAGTTGTAACTGAGCCTTTTCCATGTCTTCTCTTTCCTTTTGTCTTCTGCGCTGGTGATTTTCGTTAAACTGCATCACCAGATCAAATCCAAAACTTTCTAAGAGGTGCTTGTACATGTGAGACGACTTTTTGTTGACTGAAAGTCTGGCAAATGTGTCTTCGGGAGTTGATTGAAATGGCGGTGGCGTCCGATTGTTGGAGGACTGGGGGCTGGCACCACCCATGCCGAACATGTTCATGGGACTGCCAAAAAGACAGTACAGCTGTTGGTGCGTGGCAAGCTGCTCTTGGCTGGCAAACAGGGCGGAGCAGCGCGGGCAAGCTAAGGGGTCGGAGCCTATCACAGACGATTGAGCAGAGGCGGAAGAACTGCCTAAACTACTAGGAACTGTCGGAGAGCCCTGCGCAGTACCCGTGCTGCCCCCGGACGGTGGCGAAGTAAGGGATGACGAGAGCGACTGAGGTGGTGCCAGCTTTGGTGAAGCACCAAGAATGTCTTGAATCAGTTTGGAGCGTGGTTCAGGCTGTTCAATGAGCGGTTTGCTCAAATCAATTTGGCCAGTAATTGCTAAATCTTGCAGTTTAGAGGCACGTGTCTGGTGAAGAACTGACCTCATGTGAATGTCTAAAGTAGAGCCTTGACTGTAGGCAACACGACAAATATTGCATTTGTACGGTTTCTTGTCGTCGTCGTCGGAAGCAGAGGAACTTTGAGATTTGGGAGTCAACGGCATACCAGGAGGCAAACTTTGGGGAGAAGTTACGCCCAAGCTAGCCAATGTATCTTTGGTATTATTATTGTTATTGTTGTTGTTTTGCTGCTCCTGCATGGCCCTCTTAAGCTTATGCAAATGGCTCACTGAGTTGTAATGCACTAGTAAAATGTTCTTCTGTGTGAATGACTCCTTGCAAACATCACACTTGTATGGCCTGTTGGGGTCCAGGTACTTCTCCATGGGGTAAGTTAGTTTTTCGCCCTTTCGGTGGAGAAGGGTCTTATTGTGAGAAGTGAGGTAGCTTTGCCGCGTGTAGGCAACCTTGCATCGGTGGCACTTGTACTTGCGGTTGGGGTCGTTATAGGAATCCTCCGCCATAGCCTGGCTGTTCAAATAGTCTTCTAGAAACTGTTGCTCCTTGTACACGATGGAATCGTCGCTATTTTCTCCGTCATTGTGAGCATTGCCAAGACTCTCATCAGCGTTTTCTTTGGCAGGGCTTTCCTCTGAATCCAAGACATCTTCATCCATTCTCATGCTTTCCTTGCGAAGCAGTTCGTTGGTTACCGGGTCCAAAACGGGGCCGGTAATTCCAGCAAGCACCAGAGGGTTGTTCATTAGGCTCTGCTTGTAGGCGTTCAGCTCCTCTTCAGTCAGTTCAGGGTGTGCAGTCTCGACGTGCTTATGCAGTGCCAAGATGGATCGGAAGGACCGTCCGCAAAGTACACACTTGGTGGCGTCTCTAATCAGGTGATATTGGGAATGAAGTTGTAGCTTTTCCATCGTCTTAAATGCCAGGGAACACTGACTGCATCTGTACTTGTACACGTGCTTTTCGGAGACAGCTACGCCAGGCTGAGCACCTCCCCGTAGATGAATTTCGCGGAAGTGCATCTGCAAGCTGGTGGCAGAAGGGAAGTACTGGTTGCACCCTTTCTTCCAACACAGATAGCCTGGTCCAAGTGGTGTTTGCTTCAGTTCAAGGTGGTTAGCCTCGGTCTGGTGGGCGCAAAGCTCCTCAAAGGCGCGAAAGCTCTTCGAGCACGCATGACAGCGAAGAAGGTCGTCCTGGTCTTCAGCCATGTCCTGGTCGTCAGCCTCCCCAGTCGTGTTGTCCGAGTGGTTCAGCTTGCCGGAAGACCCCGAGTCCTGCAGCTCCTTACAGCCCGTCGAGGACGCCACGGACGACGGGCTGTTTAGATTTCCCGGCGGCGTGGTTTGAGGTGTGGTGGGGCGCTGGCTGCTGGGGGTGCCGGGCCCTGGTCTGGTTGATGAGTTGAGCCAGTGGCTCTGGTCGACCAGCATCAGCAGTCTCTGCAGACCCTCCGCGTTGACGGAATGGATCTGCATGACGTGCCTCTCCAGCAAGGTGCGATCCCGGAAGGCGTCCTGGCACAGCGGGCAGAGGAAGTCTCGCTGTGACGGGCTGGTGGGCTCGTTCTGGTGGTGGGCCAGCACGTGGGCTTGCACGCGCAACTCGGAGCCAGCCGTGAAGTTGCAATAGGGGCACTGGTGCGCGCCCTCTGTCGCTGGGCTGCCCTGGCGGTCCTGCGGCGTCGCGGAGTCCCTCTCCCGTGACCTCTCTCTTTCTTGCTCTCGGCTCTCCCTTCCTCGCTCTCGGTTCTCCCGCTCTCGTTCCCGTTCCCGTTCAAGCAGCTGCTGCTGCTCTTTGTTATCTGCAACAGAAAAAGAACAGGACGCCATTAGCACATTGACATTCACAGAGACAAAACACAAAGGGCGCTACACTTCGGTTCATCATGGCGTTAATGCGTCGTCATCGCGTGGCATTCCTCAATCCCAGCGCTAACCACCGCTTTCGAAGCAAGTTATAACGCCCGAACCCCCGCCTAGCCAAGCCCAGCCTAGCCTTCCCGATGCTGGTACAGCACGACTCCGCGCAGCCCAGTCATTAACACCCTGTACAAAATGAGGAAGCCGGTAAGCAGGGACACGCTGCTCATCACAGCGCCGCCGATTATACTATTTTCAAGTGCACGACGACAATTACTCGACGCAAAAAACCAGGAATCGTTAATAACCCTATGTCATTTTAGCACGTCGGGGCGTGCTGCCGCCAGCCCCGCCAGCCCCGCCAGGCTGCAGCGTGCCCGTTTCCAGCGGCGCCTCGCAGCGAGTCATTGTGTCGCTCGGAAAAACTGTGCGCCGCGTGGCGGTGCCGCGGCGGTGCCACGGCCACGAATCACGACGCGCCATTATCTACAAATAACCGCGTCAAACTAACATCCTTTTCATTACAAAACAAGAATCGCCACCAAAAGCGAATTGAAAAATTTCTCCGCGCCATCCGAAACGCGCTAGCGATTTGAGGCGGCTCTGCCGTGCTTTGCGGTGATGACAGCAGGCGTCGTGACCGTGTCCGTGCGCACGCATAGCGCGGCGTAGCTCGGCGTGGCCGTGGCGTAGCGCGGCCCGTTGCAGCAGGGCCGTTGCCGGGCCGTTGCCGGGCGCGGCGGAAGAAAATAAACCACTTTGCCACCGCGGAGTCATAAAGATCGCTCCCCATTAAAGATGTAGTGGCGCTGGCGGGGCTGGCGTGGCTGGCGGGCGGGCGCTCTATCTGCGTCTAGCAATTTCCTATCTCCGGCTGCTCCGGGTCCTCGAGTCCCCGGCTCGGCTGCCGCGGCGCCTCGTGGTCGTGACTCGGCCTGGGTAATTATCGCAAGGCGTCGCGACGGTCCACGGCGCACCAGACGGCTCGGGGCTCGGGGGCCACTTCCGGGGGCCAAAGACAATCATCGGCCCAGTTCTCTGGCATCGCGCTGTCGGGGCGTCTCTGCCGCGTCCCAGCCGCGTCTTTCCTTGCCGGGGCCGCTCGGCCGCTCGGCCGCTTCACGCACGACGGCGCGTTGTGCAATACCAATACAGCTCAACGAGACGGCAGCAGCAGCCAGCCTTGCCCGGTAATTAAGGCGCTGATTAAGCCGCGTGATTCAACAGACTCATTGTCGTGCCGCCCCCGCCCCGCCCTCCTCCCCGCCCCGTCAGCGCTTCTGTTCTGACGGTGCTATTTTTAAGTTTTCGCTTCCGTTTCCTTTTGTTTCCTATTGTTGTTGAAAAATTCTACGTGTCCGTCTCGGCGCCGTCCGTGATGAACGGGAAGATGAGGAGGGGGAGGAGGAGGAGGGGGTACTTTGGGAGGAACAGCCTGGGCCGAGCCGAGTGGAGCCGAGCCGAGCCGGTCGGCCTCTCATAATTGGCTCACGAGACGCTAGCGAGCGAATCCGGCGCGCAAACCGCAGCCAGCCTTTTCTCGAACCGCGCCGCGACACGCTGCCAAAAGTCAGCGCCTCTCATGCATTCGGCCAGTAATGCTGCGTTGTTGTCGGCCGGGGCGGACGGCGCGGACACAAAAGGCCGACGCGCTGGCCGGGCGGACGCGCCGCTGACATAAATGTTCGGCCTCCTTCCCAGTAGCAGTGAGGCCGAAACAATGACACGACGGTTTTTAACATTGTCGGCCCGTAATTACGAGAATTGCGCCTTAAACGCCCCGCGAGAACACAACTCTATAAAACGTGTGCAGGGGCACAATATGCCCGGCCGGCCGTGTGTGCCCGTCTGGACGGCGGCCTGCATGGCGGCCTGCGAGGCGGGGGGAGGAGGCCGGGGACGCGCGGGCACGGCCGTTCACACGCCAATGGCCACCGCCCTCGCTGTTCCCAGAAACGACATTTCCCAGTTATGTCATTTTCCCGCCCGTGAGCCCGCGAAAGAGTAGTCCAAAAAGCGCAAACATTTTTGAAAAAGGCACAAACAAAACGAGTGCCACAAAAGGACCTTATCTTTTACGACCCACGCTCGGGCACGGCGGGGCACGGCCTCGGCGGCCTCGCCACGACGCAGTACTCTTTAATTGTCGATGGGCGTCACACGGCCGCGGCTCAATGTTGTTGTCACATTGTTCACACCGGCCGGCCCAGCCCAGCCCGTACCTACGCCCGCCTCTTTATTTATGGAGCCACCAAAGCATTACGTTGTCATCCCAAGAGGAAGCCATTGCCCTGATTAAACAGATAAAGGTACACAGCCAGCCTGCGCAAGTCAAGGGGCAGGCTCTAGGCATCACTTGGGGTCCAGCCAGCAAAAGCAGCAACAACAGCCCGCCTGCCGGGTAGGCAACACCAGGCCTTCCGCGCAGCGCTGTGCGGCGGGCGGCCTACCTCAGGGGACCCCACAGCCCGCAGGGTAGGCCACCCGGCGCACAGCGCTGCGCCGAATGCCTGGTGTTGCCTACCCGGAAGGCGCTCGGCCCACTTGACTTGCCCCGCGGTGCCTCACGCCAGCCAGCGCCCTCGCCGCGGAAAAAAAAACAGCAAACCCCAGAAAATATCGGAATGAGCATCCGCCTACACTGCAAACGAGGCGCCGACGGCGGCTGGCCGCGATCTGTGCGAGAGATTCGTGCCGTTAGTGTTGGCTTTGGCGTGGCGCTCAGCGAGGCTCGGCGAGGCGCCCAAATCCGTTGTTTTCTCTCCGGCCTCGCGCTGCTCCGCACCTCGCCGTGGCGTGCCCTGCCGTGCCCTGCCGTGGCGGGGGACATTAAAGCCGTTTCCTTCCCGGCTTCATAATTCCGGCCCCATGGCCAATGGCTGCCGTCGCCCTCCCCCCGCCGCGCCGGGCGGGCCGCGCAGGCCGCGCACCGCACCGGAGTTTTCTCCGGACGCGTCCCGGAGGAGCCTCCACCCATTCGCACGTAGTAGCCAATAAAACGAGGGGGAGCGAGCGAGACGGGCATAGAGGGCTTAAGCGCGGCTGGGGTGGGGGGAGGGGGGTCGCAAAAAATGCAGTAAGGTGCGGCTGCGCCCAGGCAGGCAGGCAGGCAGGCAGGCAGCCCGCTGCGGTGGGCCGCTGCCAGCGAGAGCGACAGCGTGCGCATTACGGGTGTCGAACCGAACACATCACCGGAGCGCAGCGCACAGCAGCGCAGCACAGCACGGCCATGAAATATGCCCGGCTGGCTGTAAAAAAAACGAGTGTGAATAAGGAGTGGAGGAAATGTTTAAACGGTTATTGGGTGCAGTAGGCTCCACACACACACGCGCGGCGCATAAAGTCTGGCGGTGTTCGACAGCCCGTCTGGCTCCGTTCATGCAGGGGAGTATTTTAAGGTCGACCGCCCAAAGTGGGAGGGATTTACGAAGCAAATTTCTCAGCCTGATCAATCGGAGTGTGGATATCACGACGGAGCATGATTCCTTCATTTGAGCCCCGCGCGCAAAACCGGATCCGCATGCACGTGACACACGCACACAGACGCGGCCGGCGCACACATACATTACGCCCGTGATAGTCAGTATGAAAGAGAACCTGTCCCGCTCCAAAACGGAACATTTCTTAGGATTAACCGCATCCCGATGTGTTTTCGCACTCCGGCATTCAAATCGGAGTTATGGAGGGGAAGATCATAACTTGAAATAATTTACAAGTCGGGGGAAGTGCCGCGCGCTCTGCGGGCAGGCACGCGTTTAGAGCAGGCTCCCCCCAAAAATCAGCACAGCAAAAATAAAATGATAATTAAATTTTACAGCCGGGGCAACTAAAACCGCCGCCTCGTCTCGAGCTGCGGGCGTGCCCGATACTTTTTTCCGAATAACAGAACCGGTGTGCCAGGCGGCCCCCCTCGTAACCGATTATACGACAGGTCAGCCTCTCGAAGTTAAATTAACAGGGCGTCGGGATGGGTCCCCTGTCCTGGCCGTGGCGTCGCCCGGCGTCCTCGTGTCAACTCGGGATGAGCACCATCATGTTTCGGCTGCGCTGATGAGATATTCCGACCGGGCAGGTCGTCCGCCCCGGCCGCCCCGGCCGCCCCGAACCCGTTCCTCTGGCCGGGTCGAGCTGTCAAAGCACACGCGCTGATAACGCGCCGAGTAGAGCTGCTTTCACACTTGGCCGGCCGGCGCGACCAGGAATTTGTTTTTATGTCCTAGCGGCTTGGAAAGGAATACTCCGGGCTCAACATTTCGTCTCCAGATAGGCATCGCGACGGAGCGACTTTACTGTCGAATCGCTCGGCTTTCCTGCGGCACGCGCGAACCACGGCCCGGCGAGGCAGCGAGCCTCGCCTCAAGATGGCGGGGCTAATTAGTGCGAGAGAGACGGAGCATGCTGCCGCCGCCACGCCCCGCTGCGATCCCCCGCCACCTCGCCGTCGCCGGCCGGCCGAAATGTCAACCGGTCCTGGAGGATTTTTTCGCTCCCCCAAAAGGCAGAAGCCGGCCCGCCTGGCGGACGCTCTCCGGACGGACGTCGGGCAGCCGGGTCATCGGACTGGCGCACCCCCAGGGCGGGGTGGAGGGGAGGCCGCACTGCTCGGCCCACCTGCCCGCCAGCGGACCGGAACCCAAATGGCCCTTTAGAGTTTTCCGGCAAAACCCGAACCTAAAGGAAAAAAGACCTCCGATCTCTACATTGTGCTGCTGACGCTCCCCACTACTCACCACACCAAATATCCCGAATCCTCGGCCAATTGGGAAACGTCTCGCATGTCAAAGTCGGGTTTTTCAGCTGTTGGGTTTCCCCAAAAAAACGGTTTGAGGTTTCAAAATCAGTTTTCGGCACATGATAGCCTCGACGAGCCTCACAATCGCCTCGCTTTGACCCCCCATAAATTTCGACTCCTTCCCCCTGAAAAACGTGATGCAAAATAACCAACTGCGCGCTGCCAAGAGTCCAAACGCTTTTACTAACACATTTCTGAAACAATAATTGTTTCGGAACACGAAATAGTGCCTTTTTATCTTCAAGATTTTTCCTATGATATGGAAAAGACTGCAAGTCGATACGACTTCGGATAAGCCCTAAAAAAGGTGCCGAGTGCGAGGTGGTCGGTGTGCATTTTTGAAGTCCGGTCTAGCCTGGCGCCGGAATGCATGCGCAGAAGAGTGCGCAGAGCGCTGATCCCGGAGCTCTGCCAGAGAGGTTAGGATCTTCGAAGTTTTACGTTTTAATGTCATTTTAGCTCGATTTTTACAGTACCCCGCGTGGAGGTTGGTCTGTGTGGAACATTGAATAACTAGGGCGAAAATTTACGAGTAATCTCACTCAAATGTAGCATACTGAGACATCGCAAGCACGGAGCCGAACCGGCGCGGACCAAGGCAGGTGACGAGTGACGAGGCCAAGACCCGCTTCACCCTGGGGCCGCGCGCGACGGTGCTGCCATCTAGCGGTAGCTTTGCGGGGCGAATTTCGAACGCCAGCCGACGCCAGGAACGGCAGGCAACGCCCGCGCCCCGCCTTGCAGCGCGATGCGGCGATGCGGCGCGGCCGGGGTACGGCACGCCGCGGCACGCCGGGTCATCGGACTGGCGCACGGCCGCACGACAGGCGCGCCAAAGCTGGCAGGCTGGCAGGCCGGACGTCGCGCAAGCCGACCAGGCCGGCCGCGCCAACAGGACCGCGCCAACCATCGCCACTTAGTAGAGTTTTACGAAGCGGCCGAACCTGAACCTGAAACCTGCCGAGATGAACCGAAGCCACCCCATCCACACTCTCTACATCGTGCTCGCTGCGACGCTGCGACCGACTACTCACCACAGTCCATATCGCCGAACGGCTGCTGGGGCTCGGCCAGCACTTGGAAGATCTCGCCGATGTCCGTCTGCACGTCCTTGCCCTCGGCGCGGCGCTGCAGCTGGTGGAGCTGCTCCATCTGCACGTGCTTCATGGAGCGGATGTGCTGCAGCAGGGGCAGGCGCGCGCGCGCCGAGAAGCCACACAGCGCGCAGTGGTAGAGGCGCGAGGCGTTGAGGTCCAGGGCGGCCTCGCTCTCGCGGAGGTGCCGGAACAGCAGGTGGCTGGCCTCGTGGCGCTGGCCCGCCGCGTGCAGCTGCAGCTTGTGCGCCGAGTTGGTGTAGTAGTCGCACGCGTGGCAGCGCACCTGGATGCCGCCGGGGCTGGTGACGTACTTGAGCTTCCACTCGTTGCGGGGGCCGCCCTCCTTGACGTGGTTCACGTGCTGCAGGCGCTGCAGGTGCTTGTCCGTCTTGCAGTGCAGCTGGAAGTTGGCCTTGAGGTTGGTCTTGTAGGAGCACAGCTTGCACACGTAGTGGCCGGCCACCACGGCGAGGATCTCCTGCTCGCGGATGCGAGTGCGGTCCTCGCTCAGGTGGTGCGACAGCTGCTCCAGCGAGTCGGTGGAGAAGGCGTTGCACACGCAGCAGTGGAAGAGGTGCGAGGGGTTGGGGTCGGCGGGGCCCGGCGGCGGCTCCATGGTCTCGGGGTTGAGCCCCATGTCCATGTGCGGCGCCAGCTCCGGTGGTATGTGCGGCGGCATCTGGCCGCCCGTCATCATCTGGATGAGCAGCGCCTGGTTGTACGCCATGTCGGCCAGCGCGGCCTCCGAGTGCGGCGGCGGCTTGTCCGGCCCGGGCAGCCCGCCCGGCAGCAGCCCGGGGTGGAAGTGCAGCAGCGACTCGAGCGACAGCTGCTGCTGGTGGGACTGCTGCAGCGCGCTCAGGGTCTGCATGTGCTTCATGGACTGCTGCAGCACCATCATGTTGTGGGTGTGCTTCTCGGACGTCATGTGGATGCGCAGGTTGCGCGCCACGTTGGTCTCGTAGTTGCAGACGTCGCACCGGAAGGTGGGCTTGGGCTTCTGCTGGGCCTGCTGTGACGGCACACTGGGCGACGCCATCCCCGACTTGGGCGGCGGCGTCTGCAGCGCCGGGTGGTTCATCTCGGTGTTGACGCCGCCGTTCTGCAGCTCCTGCATGTTGTTGAGGTGCTTGTCGGACTGCATGTGGATGCTGAGGTTGCCCTTGGTGGTGGTGGAGTAGTTGCACACCTCGCAGCGGTACGGCTTGTAGCCGCACGTGTATGTCTCGCCGCGCGCCAGCCGCGGGTGCGGCTGCCCGGCGATGCAGTACAGGCACGACGTCTCCGTTTCGGGGTGCTTCTCCTTCATGTGGATCTCGAGCGTCTCCTGGTACTTGTAGTGCCAGTTGCACTTTGGACACTTGAGCGTCTTGCACGAGTTGCGCGAGTGCATGTTGGCGAGGGGGCCACCCAGCCGGGACGAGCTGAGGATGAGCTCGCACTTACTGCACTCGACGCCGCTGGGCCGGCCGGCGATGTGGTCGGGGCACACGCCGATGGTGGTGCCCGTGAGGAAGCTGGGCGGCGGCGGCGCGAAGGGGTTGGCCAGCTGCAGTGGGCTGGGCGACGGGCTGGCGCCGGGCGACACGCTGTTGCGGCCGTGCGACGCCGGCCCCGCCGGCCCCGACACCGGGCTCTTCCTCGTCAAGTCCATGACGCTGTTGAGGCCGTTGACCATGAGTCGTTGGTGGTTGAAATTGAGGAAATTGTTGCTACTGTTACTGCCGTTTTGCGGCAGGGAGACTGGGGACGTCTCAGGAACATGTTGCTGCAGCCTGTGCTGCTGCGGGGACTGCTGGGGGGTGGGCCTCTGCGGCGACGCGCTGGACCTGTCGGCGGACCGCCTGTGCACCACCAGGGACTGCGCCTCCACGTCGTCCCGGTCGCGCAGGTCCCGGTGCTCGCGGTCCGACACTTGTTCGGCGGCGGGCCGCGACGGCGGGACGGGCTCGAGGAAGGACAGCAGGGGCTCCTTCTCCTTGCCGACCACCTGGATGATGGCCGACGCGTTCTGGTGACTCAGGATCTCCTTCTCGTCCTCCCGCAGCACCAGGTTGTGGTCGCCCATGGCGTGGGCCACGAACGACTTGGTGTAGCCGAACGACAGCTTGCAGATGAAGCACATCAGGATGGGCTTGACGGGCACCGAGGTGGCCTCCTGCGCGGGGATCTTGAGCTGCTTGCGCACGCCGTCTTTGACCTCCTTGTCGGCGTCCTCGGCCGACTTGCCGTCGCGCACCGAGTACACCCGGTAGCTGTGCATGACGGGCGCCTCGGGGGCCTGGTGCCTGCTGGGCAGCGCGGCCTGCTGCTGCTGGTGGTGCTGCTGCTGTTGTTGGCCGTACAGCGCCGAGTACAGCGCGGGGTTCCTGCTGACGTAGAACGCGTTGGCGATCTGCGGGAACACCTGGCTCTGCTCGGGCAGGCTCACGCCGCGCCCGTCCACGATGCAGCCGTCGCCGATCTCCTCCTCGCTCAGCTCGCTGTCCTCGATGATGTAGGCCGAGCCGTCCGGGTTGTACACGATCTTGCCGTCGAACTTCTCCACGTCGTTGTTGCCCCACGAGTCCTCCGCGTCGTGGCCGGCGTGGCCGGCGTGGCCGGGCTGCCGCGCCGCCGACTCTTGTTGCTGCTGCTGTTGCTGGTCGTCGGCCGCGGCGCCCGGCGCGTCGTCCTCGGCCAGGGTGGTGGTGCCCAGGCCGCCCAGGCTGCCCAGGGCCATGGGCACGTCGTCGTGGAGGTACTTGCTGCCGGACGGCGGCGACGTGACTCGCCGCTCGTCGTCGGCCTGCCGCGACGCGGCCATGAGCGCGGCGGGCGGCGCCGCTGTCTCCTCCTCGGGGCTCATGTTGGCGGTGGTGCTGGTGGTGGTGCTGTCCCCGGGTCCGGGGCCGCGGGGTTCGTCTAGCAGACTGCCATCGTCCTGCGGGGTGGGCATGGCGTCAGCGCGGCATCACATGCTGCTGCTGGGGCGACCGCCGGCTCCACGCTGCAACAAACAAGGACGGACGTTAGTGGCTGTGGTCAGGGAGACAAATTATCCGGCCGCCCTCAGGAGGACTTCAGTGCTCTTAGGTCCCTATCGCATCTCAGAGTTTGGAATATCGTGTGCTGGTGGCTCCGGGCCCACAGATGGCGTCGCCCGGCGTCGCCTCACCCAAGCCTCGCCGGGCCCACCCGTCCCGGCCCATCCCGCCCGTCCTTGCCGCGGGCTCCGCTCCGCACCCCCCTCGCCACGGCCCCGGCCGGCCCGGCACGGCCCGGCGCTCAGGTGTTTAGCGATGGCGTCCCTTTTCGGCGCGCAGTGAAACCGTGAAACCCGAGACAGGCATGTCCGCCTGCCAGACGGCGGCACACCAACCAAAAATAAGATCCGCAAAATTTGGTGCAAAAGGCTGCAATTTCTGAAGAGTTGGTTACACCCGCTTGTGGCTGCTTCCTCCAAGGCACCACCCCACGCCGCGCGGGCAAATTACCCGCGAGGTGCCGTGCCGTGCCGTGCCGCTCCGCCGGCCGGGGAAGGCGTCGGGACGCTATCGGGCGCATCGCGCCGCCGGCCGCGCCTCGACAGCCCTAGCCGGCCGAACGCTCACGTGCACGCCGAGGCCCAGCCGGGCACGGCGGCCGCGGCGGCCACGGCGACGAGGAGGTGCGCTTGATTGCCATCGCAAGAGCATGAAAACTCAGCGTCTAATGATACGACTATCTCACGCATGCGGTCTAATTAATGCAATCAGTGGGCCGTGCAAGTGGTCATTATCAGCCCACACTCTGTGCGCTCGCTGTGCGCGCTGTCTCCTCGCCGAGCCACGTTTTCGCATCACTGTCATTAGCCATTGATGGCGCGCATTGTTCTACGGCGCGGTACACTCCCAGGGCCGGGCCGCGGCCGAGGGCCCAAGGGCCGAGCCGAGGGCCCGGGTTCAAACACTGGCGGCGCCCTTTTCCCTTCCCCCTTTTAGGTGACTTATTACAGGCTGCCACTGTGCACGCTGCGCGCTTATCAGTGGATTGACAGCGATGCTCTCGGCACCTGGTGTTTGCCGTCCACCGGAAGGGCGGAGAATGGTACTCGTTGTTGTGCACACTCACACTCTCTCTCACACACACACTCACACGCCACACCCACCAATTCGTCCGAATCGGAGGCGCAGGCGGCGCGCCTGTCAGAAAGTGTGAACGGCACACCGCATGAGAAGGCCGCCATTACAGACACACGTACACACACACACACACACACACACTTATCTCGGACGTAACATCTTCGGCTTTCACAATGGATACCATTGAACACATCATCCAGCCCCCAACAACGAGCGAGCGAACGGTTCGGGAAACTCTCCTTGGCCGCTATCCTTGTTTTTATTTTTATTATTTTTCGGATAAACCTGGAGAAAGAGAGCGAGAGAGCGCGCGCGAGGCGAGCGAGGGAGATGCCCAGTGCCAGATAAGTTGACGGAGCTTTACGTATCTGTAATCACGACAATTTTGTTGCAGGGCAGAGCGGCGCGCGCTGTAAGTACAAATTACTTGACAAAGAGGACCCCTGCCGGTGTTGGGGGGAAAATAAAGAGAGAAAAAGTCCCTAAAAATGAAGGTAAAACCATGAAAATTACTCGTAATTATTGCACTGACTCGAAATCAAAGCCTAATTTGTAAGAGTCGCCCTCCTAAGATCCTTGGCGCCGGACCACACCAATTATACCGCCTAAGTGGTTGGTACGGTCGGGCTGCCCGCCCCGCCCCGCCCTGCAACACCACACCGCCGTCGCAGCGCTGCAACTGCACCACCAAGTTTAGTGTTTCGGGCCCATTGTTTCCGAAAAAATGGTCCGGATTCATTACTTCGGCAGGACTCCCGGCCGGCGGCCAGGGCCAGGCCAGGCTCCACGTCGGCGAGACGAGACGCAGCGTGCGCAGTGCGGAGACAAAGGGCGGCCGCCATCTTGGCTGGGATTCGCGGCGGGCGGCCAGTGGCGGGCGGTGGCGGACGCGGCGCGGCGGCGCGGCGGCGCATACCCAACCCTTTGCCAGCCCTTGGCCCTTCGCCGCCAGGGCCGGGGCCGGGGCTGCCGCGGCGCCGGCAAGGGGTGGCGGCGCGCGGCGGGCTAGTGCTGGCCCGGCCCCGTAGTGCCACGTAGTGCAGCGGGCCGCCGCTAGATGGAGGGCGCTCCCCGCCCCAGCGCCGCCTGCACCGCGCCGCGCCGCCTGCCTGCGCCGCGAGCCGCAGCCGTCGGCGTAGGTTCAGCGACCCGGGTACAAAACGATCCGAATGCAACACCGATAAGTGAGGTGAGAGTGCACGCAGCATCTGTACCCACAAGCGGTGCGTTGCCCCGTGACCCAAAACGGAGGGGCCGGGGCGGTGAGGGGCCGAACGGGGCGGCCCGCCCTGTCCGTCCTCGACTCGGTCCTCGTGGAGCTGGACGACGACGGACTCCACCGCGTTGCAGATGGCAGGCCGCGATAGGCGCGCGGTGGCGAGAAGGGGGAGGGGGGAGGGGGTTTCCGGCTGAGATCGCCTCGACTCGTGTTCCTTGAGGAAGGTCAGGAAGGGCAGTCCACCACGCGAGAGTGAGGAGCAGCGTCAGCGGAGGGAAATTTCCCGCACAGCGCTGCCAGCCGCCGCCGCGTCGCCCCCACGCTGGAAACGGCTGCAGCGGCCGCCAAACAACAAAAAAAACTAAAGTGAAAAACGGATAGAGCGTGAAACTTGGGAACACTCGCTCGGGGCGTGACTGTCCGGGCGGGGCGGGGCGGGGCGGGGCGGGCACAGCGTGGCACTCGGAAACACGCCGCGCCACGGCTGCGCGCTGCGCCGTGCTGCGCCCCACACTCCACGCCAACAAATCAGCTGTTCCGTTGTAATGGCCTGGGGGAGCGCGCTGGCTACCCTCTGCCCGCTCTGCTCACGTATCGACAGCAGACGACAACAGGCCGGACACGAAGAGTGTGGGGAAGCAGGGCAAGCAGCGCAAGGGGAGGGAAAAAGAAGGAAGAAACAAACAACAAAAAAGCGAGAGGGCGGGACACGGCGTGTAATCGACACGGCGGCGTTAATCTCGCAGCTCCTTTCGCCGCGGCCACTGCAGCCACTGCAGACAGCCACCGCCTTCCTGCCGGCCGCGCTTACAGCCCCGGTTACATCGATTCATAATCGCCGCGGCCCCCAAGTGACTCGATCCAACGGCAGAATGTCATTACAGTTAAACAATGCGGCGCGTGCGCGGTCCCGAATCACGCCGAATCAACTCATGAATAGTCAAACGACTGCGTAGTATTTTCCATTTTGTACCTTCTCCGTGTGTGAGTGATTTCCGTGCCGATAACGCTTCGAATTTTCAATGAGGGCGGCGGCGGCCCGCGGCACCCCTCGCGCACCCCTCGGCGGCGTGGCGGCGCGGCGGCGCAGTGCTGGTGCATTTTTCGACAGCTGCACCGAACGCACCTCCGACACTCACTCACTCACTCACTCCCGCACAGGCGAGGGAAAAAATCGATCGCACACACTCACGCACACGCACGCGCGCACTACTTTTTAAAACCCCCGAAAAAAGCAGTGGGGTTGTGAGAGGGCTGCTGCGCCGGGCCCGGGAGCGGGGTGCATTCTGGGCCAGCGGGCCAGTGGGAGTGGTGCAGCCACGGTGCAGCCGGGGAAAACCATCGCGGCCGGCCGCGCCCCGGGCAGCGCAGGCCGTGCACGGCGTGTTGACACCAGCCCGCCCGCCCCGCGACACGCCCCGCGGCATCCCTGGCCAACCGACAGCGCCCACTGTGAGAAACCGGCGTTTCGTCACTCGGACGTGGACACGTGGACACGGCGAGGCGCCGGCCGGCCACCCGGGCCACTGCGAGGGGGCTGCGGTGGGCGTGCAGGCGGTGCAGGCCGTGCTGGCCGTTCTGGCCCACCGCCACGAGGGCCGTCCGTGCCGTCCGTGCGTCCGCCGCGCCGACGTGGCCGACGTCTCGAGCGTCGCGTCATTATGCCGAGCACGCCACGGAAAGCATCACTGTTGTCGAGACGTGTGTTGTACACAGCGAGGTAATCTTGATAGCACCAGCAACCCCTGCCCGCCCCTGCCGGCCGAGACTGGCCGAGGCCGGGAAGGGGGAGGCGGGGGCCGGCCAGACTGGGGGGAGGGGGGGGGGGACGTCGTGGAAGCCCCTCAATGCCGGCCGGGGCGTTACCGACCGGTCGCGTCCTCGCGTCGCGTCGAGCGGCGCGCTCGTGTTTTAGTCCTTGCCGTGATTACCTAGAGCGGCTAGCACCGCTAGCACTGCCAGCGCAGCAGCCATTAGTCATCCAACACACCGCTTTTCCACGACTTTCTTGTTCTGCCCTTTGATTTGTGCCTCTTGCCCCCGCGGCCCCATTTGCATAAATACCAATATGCACAATGCGACATGGCGGATTCGGGCCGTTCCGAGAAGCCAGGCCGATCGGGCCAGCGGCCGGTCCGCCGGGGCGTTCGGCACACAGCACCCTAATGTGCGTCTGGAAAGAAAACAAGAGAGCCACGCCACTCCGCGCCACTCCAATACCGAACAAATATTGGGCCAAGTCGAAAGTGATAACGACGAAACAAAGAAAGGGCCGGCAGGACGGACGGACGAACGGAGTCAAGGGCGGACGGACGGACCGACGGACACTGTTGACACAAGTTGAGTCAATAGATGCTAAGCAGAGAGCTGCGGTGCGGCGTGATCGAACCTGCCTTATATTTGTCTGTTTGGCTGCGATGAAGTCATTCACCCACGACGAGGTGGTTGTTGCCGTCTTGAGACAACATGCCCGGGCAGCGCAGCCCGCCCCGCCCTTGACGACGATACGGGGACTATCGGGTTCCCCCAAAAAGGCAATCTCACGAAAAGCCCCTTTTTGGATTCGTTTCCCCGTGGTTTCACCTGGCCACGTGGACGTCACCGACGTCGCACCCAGCGAGGCCAGCACGGCCGGGTCACACGCCCGCCGCTCCGCCAGCCCCGCCA